ACAAAAACATCACATATCCGATGGCTCTGCAGCTCCACAGTCAGACGACCAGACCAACGCAAGACAGTGAGACTCACCTCATCTGAAACTCTGAACCTCTTCAGAAGAGCCACCACACGCTGCTTAAAGTTCTGCTGCTAAAACACAGGAGAACAAACGCAGAACCGCAAGTCAGATTGTGACCTAGTTCTGATTTACTTCGGCCAGTACAAAAAACAGCTGCAGCCACTGCTGAGCAATAGCTCCTCCAATTTAGTAATTTTACCAGCAGTAGATACATTTGCAGTGTTGGCCGGGTATCGATTTTGCAGTGTGTGCTCATGTAAATCAATAATCAAGCAACATCATCTTCCATCTGCTTTCTGAGGCTTTCATCTGCTGCTCTGGCTTGCTGAGCCTTATAACATCCATCATCTGCTGTTTAGGTTTGTTGAAAAGCAGCTAATTATAGGTGTGGGGTTTTTTTTATAGCTGTTTTCTGCATCCAAAACCTTCTTGCACTATGTAGTAGTTTTACATCAGGTATAAACAAATGAAAAATGATTTTATGGAGCAAAAACAGGTAAAACCCACAAGTCAACTGGACTCCCAGACCCTTTGTTTTACAGTGCAGCAACAAAGCTTCAACGGAATCTGGAATTCTTTTTTTGCGGTTCAGGACACATGCCAAGATAAAGAAAGAAACTAAATTATCTTTACAAGAGAAGCCAATTAACCTTGGTTAAGCTGTTAGAGTGCAGAAAGGTGAAAACGGCGACAAAATTAATCTAAAGCTCTCTAATTAACACGGCTTTCTTCATCAGTCCAAACTCTTAAAGTTTAAGTTGTCACGCTGTGGTTGGATGGAGAATTAACCACACATTCACTGTCACAGAGAAAGCTTTGTTTCCCTGCAGGCAGGATGCTGTTCCACATCTCTTACTCTGGTGATGGAGGGAGTCCTTACAATCGACCTCCTTTGCTTCTTTGGTTTTCTCACGTCATACTCGTCATCCTCGAGATCCTGAAAACATGAAGGACACAACATGTATATTTTTTAAATGAATACAGAGAGAATACAGACTGACCTGAATAATGTAAAACATGTTATCCCCCCAAACTGCAAAAGCCTTTAAAAATAAACAAATAAATAAAATCACCTGTGGCTGCACGGCGTCATCGCTGGCCTCCTGCTCTGAGGAGAAGCTCTCGTACTCTTCTTCTGAGTAGTTATCTGGAGACAGCAGGCAGATTAAAGACTGAGTGTAGAAGATGCTTCATACGTTTTTCGATGACCCCTTTAAAATTTGACAACCAGCCAGTTTCTAAATATATGCATGATGTTGCATGCTACCTGGATTTTATTGCTTTCATGGTGATTAGAGAAAGAGAAGTGGGGGAAAAACCACTCTAAACCTGTGAAACGCCACTCTGTTTAACTCATCAAGCATATTAGGTGATTATGATGGCGTCACGCTGTTTTTGCCTCGGAGCATCAGGGGTAATGAGAAGCAAAGCATACCAGAGCATTTGATCTTCTGTCCTCCCTGCAGGGCTGCCTCCTCATGGTCTATTGGCTGACTGGACAGGGAAAAGATCCAGATCTCTGCCACTTTTCCAAGCATGTCTTTCTGGTTGCTGCAGAGAGGCAGAACCTGGCCTCCCTCTGTCGGGTGCTGCATCACCTGCGAGAGGCCAAACATCATGAGCGAGAGAGGAAATGCCCAGTTCAGTCACCTCCTGCAGGTGCTGCACTACCTAAGAGGCTTCACACAAACAGCTGAAGGTCAAATGCCTTCTTCCACGGCACCTAAGCAGAGAACAAACCCAGGTCACTTAAGAACAATACTGCTGAAAATCAGACCGATCCTTTCTGTTCCAACAGTCTCACGAGACTGCATACATCCCCTTGCAGCAGCTTACACTGTATCCTATGTGGTAGGTTTTGTTCACAGATTTAAATCCTTTAGCTGAAACTGTAGGGACTCTTTCTTTCTTTCAAGTCAGTACAGCTCTGTGCTTGTTCTTTTTCCCCCCAATCTCAGCTGCATTAATGCTTTTTTTATCCTTCTCTCAGCTGCCGAGATGTGACCTTAATAAGCTCCGCTGAGCTTTGTCAGCCAAATGGGAACTCCTTGGTGGATCAGCATCATGTGCAGTGAAATCAATCCATTCATTTGTGTCTTCAAGGTTTTCTTAAAACACAAAAAGCCTGTTTCTGTTATTTCCTCCATTTTTAACATCTTTCTGATGCCGCTGTACATATGTTTGATGATTTTACAAATGCTTAATATCTCATGTGAAGATCATGGAACTGCACCTAAAACACAAAAGATTCATCTACTAAAAATATAAGAGAATAAATGCATTAAACCTGTGTTATTGCTATTAAACTGTCAATTTTCTTCATGGTGGTTACAGGAAATTTTCAAAGAGAAGTTACCTTCTTTTTATTTGGATTTTGAAAAGATGGGAAAAAAAAAACAGGCCTGTTGGACAGCTGTTCACTTCCATAACGAGGTACAAGGCATGACAAAGATATGATATATTACTGTACTCAGCCTCAGCATAATTCAAAGCAGCAGCAAAGAAAGTCAAAATTATTTTAAAAAAAACTGCTAAGAAATCCAAAACTGACTATAAACTCTCACCAAAAACACAAAAAGAAACTAAAAAATGCCTACAAACAACAACAAAGATGCACAAAATGACTTGCAAACAACAAAGACACAAAATTGAATAAAGTAAAAGCCAAACCACAGCAAAGAGAATGACCACAGACAAGCAACGCAACAACAACACCAACAGCTTGACTTGTGGTTTGAGATTTGAGGTCGCTGTGTGTTTCTTTAAGTTTGAGAGTCTATATAGGACAGGATCTTTTACAAGTCTGTGCCAAGGGCTCATAATCAGTCACTTGGTTTTTGGATGAGCACAAAAAGCTGCCCAACATCTCCTTGGGTTATGAGCCCTAATTCAGAAGAGACTTTTATTAGAACTTATAAGCCTCTAATTTGAACAACAATAAAACGTGTATTTATTTAATAAAATCATAATCTGGGTTGAAACGGGGGAAAAAACAACTGTATCCACACAGAGGGACATGTTAAGGATAATTTAAGACTTTCAATTATTACTTTTCAGTTTTAATTGTTTTGGCACGATGGTAGAAAACTGACCGGCACTTTTCTGCTATTAAAGAGAGTCTTCAGAACACAAGTGCAGCAGAGCTTCTGAACCCACTGTTAACACTCGAGGTGAACAACATGAGCATATATGCAGGGCAAGAGTGTACCTCTGACATATCGATAGATCCAATCGCGAGAGTCTTGTAGCCTAAAATGGTTCGGTTCTTGTATCTTTTCCGCCGCTGGAGCATGATCTGCAGCTTGTTTCCTTCCCGCTTTAAGAAGTGTGGGTACTGAGTGTGAGAGAAACAGGAAAACAAGGAGGAAAAAGTGTAAGTTACTCATTCATACTTGGACCCACAGCTTGGAGTATAGATTTGAACAATAAAGCAAAGGTCTGTTGATATTCTATATTTCACTTATTCTTAGCAAAGTCCACAAAAAGACAAAAACAAAAACAAATACATAGAAAAAGCCAGCACTGGTGTTCAAAACCATCAGCGAGGCAAACTGGAGCACTACGTGACAGTTCCTTCATTAGAGAGGTGCTGTAGTTTTCCTTCGAGTCAGCTGCACATAATCATAAACTGATGAACTGTTCACTTAAAATGACAAATGCTAATTATTGCATTACGCGCGATTCAAACATCCTCAATTAAAAGTCGCCTAATCTGCCTCTCCATCACCCTGTGGATTTGTTTTTGAAACCGAGCTGACTGAAAATAGTCCAGAGACACG